ATTCACAGGCAAAGCCCAGCTCTGGGCAAGGAGCTGGGCTAGTGAGAATTTTATCTGGACCAGAGTTAAATGCTCTCACACCTCGGTGTCCTCTCTCTGTCCCACCACGCTGGACTTCTTTACCCGTTGAGAGTTCAGCTTCTCAGTCAAGACAAATCTCTTTCTATCCATGTCAACAAATAAATAGCTTTCAGGCTGTCATCTGTGTGATAGTGGGAAGGAGAGGCTGGTCCTAGGGTAGCAGCAGCAGACACCAACTGCAAATCTCAGGAAAAGAGCTATTAAGCAACTAGGGCATGTGTTGATAATTAGTTAATGCTTGTTATGTTTGCTCTGGGCTTTTCATTTCTGTTGACTGGCTATGAATTTTCTGCACTATCACTGCTTGTTTATAGTACGGCACCTAGCTTAGGCAATTAATCAGTTTTAAGAGACTCTGCTAATGTCCCTCTGACATCCAGAGAGCCCGGTTAAGTGAGGCGGCTGCCTCTGCACACTTCGCAAGAGCTGAGAGGGGAAGGGAACAGAATGAATCTCCCTTGGTGCAGCCTGCAGCCTATATGAAAGTCAGAGTTAGAAATTACTTACAAGTTGATTTTAAAAAAACCCCAAGTTCAGAATAACCAGCTTAAAAAAGAAACAAAACAAAAAGAGTCTGTACAATGTTAGGGCCAAATTCCATGAAATACCAAATAAATCCATGAAGTACTGAATGCCCTCCTATGGACCTGTACAACATAGATTTCCTGCACACAAGACCATTTCTATCTTGTCAGAATATCCCAAATGAACTTGCACTGTATGATATTGGCTTGGCTTTTGAGAATTACACTGTTACTGGCAGCCCCAGGCATATCTATCCAAGAAAGCAGTGTCAATACAATGAAGAATAAATGACATATCTGTGAATTACAAAAAGAATAATTCATAGGTAATTTTCAGGTATGGAGAATAATTTATAGGTGCCTGATTTGCAAAGAGAATAATTTATGAGTAACCTGAATTGGGTGTCAAGCACATTTACAGGTTACTGTAAGAAAGGGAGTATACCGACTGCTCAGCTGTCATGTGCTGAGGCTGGATTTTGGGGGCATTTCTTGTGAAAACACCCACCGTGAAAAAAGCCCTGTCAGATTCCATGGTAAAAAGATTTGTGTAATATGCCCAACCTGATCTGAAACCTCTGTACATTACCAAAGCTGGACGTACGGCCCGTGTTGTCCCTGGAGCTCCTGCCTTGCATCACGCACCACAAGGAGAAAGGCCACAACCGGGTTCCTACAATATTATCGTTGGAAAAGGCTGTCCCCAACAGCAGACAAGGAGCCAAGTGCCAAAACCTTTGGGTTAGGCGTGTGTCCACGGCGCTGCACGGCTGTGAGGATGAATAATATTGAAAGACAGGAATAACAGAGAAGAGAGGGAGGTCTCCATAAGATGTGTTCAGATTCCTGGCGCAGGCTGGTTCCTTCCGCGCGCTGTCGGGGGATGCTGCAGCTGCCAGGAGGGCACTGACTTGTGCCTCACCCCGCACAGACGGGCATCGCTCCTTCATACGACCCAATATGGGCGCTCTTGGCTTTAGAGAAAAATCACAATGTTAGCAAATGGCTGCAAGATGGAATGACAAAATGCAGCTGGGAATAGGACGCTTTTTTCCAATGGTAAAAGTAGAGAATGGCACACGAGCGGACATGGTGAGCATCTCCACTTGCAGCAGATCTTTATTACTTTGCTTAAAGCATTTCCTCAAGTGCAACCACAAGTTACTGGCCTTTTAAATAGAAAGAGTGACTTTCTCCTCCTCAGGACTTGCTAGTCAAGCCCTAATGCTTGTCACTGAACGAGGGGCCAAATTAGCTGCTCTTTACTTTAAAGACATGATGTCTCCTTCCTATATACCTGAAGGGCATCAGGATGCATCGGTGCTTCCACTTCTTCATCACCACAGTGGCATCTTAGAAACTGAGGGAGGAAAAAAAATATCAAAGCTAATGTGCCATTCCCTCCTGAAGCACTGTGTCAGGGGGTTGTACAAGGCACCCTCGACACAGGAGCTAAAAATTACAAAGCCCTTTTGCACTACTTCAGTTAATGAAACACTACAGTCATATATTAGGTCAAGCACAAATAACATCTACTATAGTTAATGTTGTAAAACGGCTTTCTTTTACGCAGCTAAAGTTGTCCATAAAAATTTTCTGAGGCATTAATTTTCTCCAGTGAAGTATTTTAGAAAAGCTTGTCGAAGAGAAGTAATTGTGTTGGATTTGGAGAGTGTAGTGGAATTCTGTCGGCAGCAGAACCAGAGTCTCCAAGAGAAGGAGGCAAGCGTTGCTCCAGACTCTGTGTTGCAAATGAATTCCTTTGCTTGAGATTTCAAACGGCTGAATCATGGACATCCTTGGGCATGGTGGACTTCACAAAACACCCAGGCTCATAGCTGGGACCGTCTGGAGCTGGGTGAATGTCCTCTTTTAGGAAGCCTTGGGGAACAATGTACAGCCCATAGCTGTGGGTTCACACTATACTCCATGAGAGACCCCCAGGGAACACACGCGAAAAGACTGTGCGCTCATTGTATCTGCTGTTGCATGCATCCACTCTCTGCTACTTCCCTTTTAGAAGAGAAAAATCCATTCATTTTCTAATCCGCGCCTCCTCCCCCAGACCCACACGCCATTTAGTGCCAGGAAGCGCTGATGAACGCGGCTCCTGCTTCTCAGAAACCTTCTTGGAAAAGATCACTTCAACCTGGACCAAGCGCAAAGCCTCTCCTTGATTGCCCTGGGAGCGACAGGCAGTCAGTAGCTCACACGATCACGTCCTCAGGGGTTTGAATATTGCTGATAGATTCCCAGTGAAAGTTCTGCATGTGACCATAAAAAGATGCTTGTCTTTAAAGTTTGTGCACAACGAGTGAAATCTTGGCCCTAGGAAAACGCAAATCTTCACCCCAGCCCAAGGCAAGGCTCCTGATGACCTGGTGGGGTCAGACTCTCGCTTCGTCCTCCCAAATCTGGAAGCAAGTCAGAAGTGTTGAGATTTGGGTGACAAAGCGCAGAACAACCTCACACGAACTCTTGTTGCTACCTGTAAACCAGCAGAAGCAATTTGGACATTTTTGGGGGGCAATAAGAAGAGGCGGCTGAGAAAGCATCGCAGATTTTATTTCCAAACTTTCGTTGGATTAGGGCCCTTGTACCACTTCAAGATCCCACTGTGCCATCTGCTGTCAGCTTTTAATGCTAGCGAAATATAAAGCTTGCAAAAATAAAACTGCTTACCCAGTCCCTCTCCTAGGCTATATACCCTTAGCCCCAAAAAAGATCATACAAAACGAGTCTTTTTTAAGGGCTGCTTATACATGTACATATCCTCCCAAGGGTTAGATGTAAAGAAATTCAGTGTTAATTTTAATGGGCTGCCACCTTTCTCTTATGGTGCAAACTACCAGAGCCTGCTCTGTGTAACTGAGGAAAGACATTGGCTCATGTTGGCACTGTTTTTTAAATATTGAATTTTCTTGTTATATTGCTGTCCTCAAGGGCCGCTGAGCGTCACTTACCTGACAGAGCTAGGCTGCAGACCTACTTAAATTATAGACTTAACCAGTTCCTCCTAAAAAAAATGTCACCTCCTTTTTTCTGTGATTGAATGTTGCTGTTTTAATGGTGATGGTCAGCAGCTGATACATTCGCTTATCCACCCAGAAAGCTGGTCTGGCTTCTTTTAAGTTAGTATGAACTTGCCTAATAGAAGATGATCCTTATTCCTAGAAACCCTGTGCTTTGGTGCCTATACACCTGTGTATTTTTTTTCTGCTGTACACAGGTGGAGCACTGTGGTAGACAACTTTGCCTAAAGTACTGCTCCAAAATACTCTAGTTCTACCTTGCATGATTGCCTTGCAAAAAATGAATGTCTTTGGAAAAATCCAGACATAGGTTAGGCATAGGGGTTGCACTCCGTTTCCTCTTTTTCTTCCCTTTCCCCACAATGTCTGCTGGCATCTCTGTAAGTGCGTAAACTGCAATGGGAAATAGGTGCTTGGCTTCCGCAGCTTTGGAACAAACGCTGGCCTTGGCAAGGACCCTAGAGAGGATATTTCTGGGATGCTCTGAATTAATTTCTTTCTGCTGCAGGCTTTCATTTGCTCTTTATTTACCACTTTACATCATCACCAGAATCCTTGATGCTCACACGGTGTGACAGGAAGTTATTCATGAAGTGACATGATGGCAGTGGGCCCGTACATGTCCTGCTAGAGAGGCAGCACCAGCAAACACGAGTCTCACACACCAAGTCCCACCTGTGGATCAGGCTGGGCAAACCTTCCCACACCCTGCAGCCTGACAACAGCACTGCGAGCTGGCAGATGCCCTGGGTCAACACCTAAGAGTGAGGATTTAAAGCTGTAAGAGAAAATTGTCAACAGTGAAAAGCTGCTTTCACTGCTGTCGGGTAAGACAGAAGTTTGGGCTTCTGAAAGATAAATAAAGACCAAGATCTACTTCTTCTGTCCTGCCATGGACCTATGCCTTTGAGAACCCCAAGGAGTGTGGTTTAGCCCAAGCAAAAAGGGGCACCACCTTGTGACATCGTACGAGGGCCAGCGCAGCCAGCCGCACAACACACAGAGGTATCCCATGTTATTGCGACTTCACCAACGAACATCAAAAATAAAAAAAATATCAAATTATCTCATTTAATCCAGACATCTGGTAGTAATAATGGGGCTCTGCATTCTTGAGCACCATCTGCTGGTACATTGTCCATGAACCAGTGACATGCACGCAGATGTAGAGCACCCTGTAACAGCTACTCTCACGTAAACGCACAGGGCTCCTGGCCAGCACTATGTACAGCATTTATGAGCTCCCCGTCAAACCTTACAGCTGAGATCTTGGGGCAAACTGCTTTCAGAGCAAAGTGTGAGAAGGTTTCCAGGTCCGTCCCAAGGCCACGTGCTGATGGTTGTATCCCCTCCTGCAGGCAGTGCCACAGCCGGTGGGTCTCTCCGCAATGCTGCAGTGCAAACACACTCAGGAATTCAGCTTCGGGCCCCGGGCTCTGAAGGACGCGCTGATCTCCACCAACCCAGCCCTGCAGGAGCTCTATGCCAAAGCTTTCTCCAGGGCGGAGAAGCTGTTCCTCTCCGAGGCCTACAACCCGCAGAGAACACTCTTCTGCACGCTGCTCATCCGGACAGCTTTCGACTGGCTCCTCAGCCATCCCGATGCCCCTGAGGACTTTGAGACGTTCTATCACGCCATGCTGAGGAGGAAGCAGAACTTCTATAGAAAGCACATTTACCTGCAACCTATAGGTAATGTGGGCATCTTTACGGAGCCACCTGGAAAGATATGGGAGGGAGGTGGGTGGTGCTGAACGCTGCTAACATCTTCTTCCAAGGACTAACCTGCAAAATGCAATTGCCATATCAAGGATAAGTGTAATACCAAAGGCTCTGACATGCCCCCAGTCCAGAGTCACAAGCCATGATGACAACCGTTAGTAGACCTGCCCTGTAAACGGTATGTGTGCCCCTGGCTGGGACTTGCTATGAATATATGTATGCATACATACATATCTATATGTAAAACAATGCTGGATAAAACAGCATTTCTGGAGCTCCATCCCTGATGGTTCATTAAAAACAGCCACCCATTCCCACATTCTTTCTGCACAACTTAACTAGGAGACAACCTTCCTAGCCCATCTGCTCTGCTAATTGAGAGATCATACTCATGTCCTGAGCCACTTCTCAGAAAGACCCCCTGTTCTCCTCCATACCTGTATAACCATCTAGAGATGTCTGCCACATCCCTGAGTAAGCAATCAACTTTAGAATGAGCCAGCCTTCCTTTTCCCCAGTTGCTGTGGCCAGCTCCACAAAACCCCTTCAGACCCTATGGTTCACCCTGGCTTTAAGGAACTGCTAATAAAGACCTTCTTTTCTTAGACTTAATCGAAGGGCCTGCTGGGCTCTCGCTGCTGGATTCCCTCCAGAGCTGCGTGGAGTCTTTCTTCCTGGGGCTCCGTGTGAAGTGCCTTCCCTCCATCCCCATCTCTTCCATTCACTGCTGCTACCGCCACAGCCGGGACTCGGACAGGGTGCAGCTCCACGCAGGTAAGGACCTGGGAGCCCGGGCAGCCATCGGCTTGGCACGCGGGCACGAGCCCTTCCTTAGGAAATGCCTGAAATAGCCCTCCATTGCCTGAGCAGGGAGGGGATGAGGAAGGGAGTGAAAAGGGAGAAATCCTGTTCCCGTGGAAAACCCAGAACTTTGAGGCTGGAAACAGGAATACAAACCAAAGTGACTTTCATCATATTTTCCTCCGCTGTTTGTGTTTTTCAGTGCTGTTATGTTTAGGTCTAGTGCTGCAACGTGATCGCATCAGCTCCGCGGGGCAAGGCACTGCAGATTTGGTGTAGTCTGAGCTCTCCCATCTCTTGTCCAGAGCCAAAGTAAATCAGTGGGCTGGGTGGCACAGGTGGGGAACTCGCTGGCCTTTCATATTCGGAAATTCAGGTTCAAGTGTCACACGGCTCCCCAGGGAAATGGGTTTATCAGCTGCCAAACTCACACTGGACAAACATCCCTCTGGAACAAGCTGTGTGCGGGTACCGCAGGCAGCACAGGCTCAGCACAGACCCAGCAGTGCGGCTGCTCCAGCTCAGGTCTGAAATGCCTGAGCAATGAGAAATTCTTCTACTTCCAGGCACTTCTTTCCATGGGTCAGTACTGAATTCATGTACATCTCTGCCCTTAGCTCTGTTTTAAGTCTCTGCTTAGCACCACTTCAGAAGTCAGGTCTGCTTATACTTGAGGGGATCGGCTACACAGCAGCGACTCTCCACCTGAGATACTGAATCCAGCAGCTCTGCCTATCTGTGGCTTGGATTGCATCCTCCTTCCCATTAACAGGAGAAATTCAGGCTCTTGCATGCCTTCTAGGGCTGCTATATTTTAATGAGTATCTCTTGTGTTTGTCTAGATGGGATCTTGAATTTCCTGAAGAACAACAAGCCCATGGATGCCCTGTGTGTCCTTGGGCTCACTCTGCTGGACCTTTATCCATGTGAGACCTGGAGCTTCACATTCAGCAAATTCCTGCCAGGACAAGGTAGGATTGGTGTCCCATGATCTCCTAGCACAGGGTGCAAATAAGGTCAAAGAACCCTTCCCTGGGAGACTGGGATAGCCAGATCTTATCCTTAACAACCTTAACAAGAACTGGGTTTTCCCGATTTAAAATTAGGGGAGTCAGGGCTGCTGATCCAGACAGAGGTAACTGAGGTGCTACAAACCTTTTGGGAAGTGGGTCTCATCACAGCCTCTGTGCTCAGCTGGGCAACAGACAACTACTACAACAGCTCTCTTCTCGCGCTGCCGAAGCTGAGAGACAGTCGTAAGAGCACTGATACCTAACTCGAATGCGCTTCCTTTTACAGAGGTGGGAGTCTGCAGCTTCGCCAGATTTTCTGGGGACTTCCCCCAGGCTGGCTGTAGCAGTTTGAATCCACTCACGCAGAAGGAACGGTTGTGTGAAGTCAGCAAGGAAAGCCGAGACCGGCCATTGCCATTCAGTGCCCAAGAGATGGTCCAGTGCTGTAAGGTAGGACCAGCAATCTCCTGCGTCGCTTATTTCTTGCCATGTAGGGTTAAATATTTCAGGCCTGGGCATAATCCACGTCCCAGCTCAGTGAAGCAGGCGAGAGAATCTGCTCCCAGGAGATGCAGGCAATGACAGCTAGGTCCACGCACTTCCACAGTCCTAAAGAGCTTGTAGTTTAGTGCACTACAGAGACAACTCTTACTCCCCTTGCCCCTGGAGCAAACTACAGCCTCAGCTGTCTAGTGAGGCTACAGGACTTGCCTTATGCCATGAAGCGACACTGAGACACAGCCCAGCTCCCTGGCTCACGCCTGGGTCAGCTGAGCGTTTTGCTTGTCAGGTGATGCATCTCCCATTAGATCTGGCAGCTGATGAAGTATCTGGAGGTTAATCAGAATATCTAGTGGAGCTGGGTGTTAACTAACGGAGGGCTGGGAAGGGGCGACTGTGTCTTCCTCAGACATCGGTATCCATGCAGGGAGAGGACCGCTCGCCACAACTGCTTACGTGGACAGAGGAGAATACCTCAGACAAATTTACACGTGTATTTACATGCAGATGCCCGTAAACCCCATTCATGTCCAACACATCCTCGTCACGAGTGCTGTCCGCCCTCATCCCAGCATCTCCCCCGTGCCTTCATGCCAGCCCTGCTTCTAGCATTTCTCCCAGAGCTGGCCCACGCAGAGCAGCCGCACCAACACCCGCGATGCCGTGTCTCTCTGCCTCCCCTGGACTTTGCTCAGGACTTTCTAGTCTGAGGTCTCTGCCTGTAGTCATTTCAGATGATGTTAGGTGGCAATGGGAGGAGGAGGGGAAGCCTCCATCCTCAGCCTTTCCACGGTTGCCAATTCCTAAGGCAGTCGTTCTTGGCCAGCTGACTCCAGCTTCGTTTTTGCTTTGGCAGAAATGTAAAGAGCGTCTGCTTTGGAAGGACCCGGATTGGTTATTGCCAATAGCTTCGTGCAGATTTCTCACATGGACAGTGCTGCTCTTTTCAGTCCCCAGTGGAACTGTTTTTCCCACTTAAAAAAAAAACAAACAACCAACCAAATGAAAACCAAACAGCACACTGTCCTTGGGTAAGAGCGTGACAGCAGCACCGCCCTATGGCTCTGAACATTCTATCTACAGGGTCTTCCCACAGCTGCTTCTAAAAAACACACCCTTCCTCCTCCACCATACAAACATGGACATGGGGTACCTGGGAAGAAAGTAGACGCGTTCCCCTTGTGCCTTGGAAGAGCCCAGGCTGAAGGAGCACCAGGGCTGAGCAGCGAGTCCATTAGACTGTCGGGGAGTGGGGACGGTGGAACAGCAGAGGAGGGGGCAGTGGAGGCAGGAGTGACCCTGTGCTCCTGTCATTTTTGTTTTCCTGAAAGGTGACCTGTCATGAGATATGTCACCTGATGGGGCTGGGGACCTGCCGCTGGCTGCAGTGCATCATGCAGGGCGCGCTGAGCCTGGACGAAGCCCTGCTGCGGCCCCTGGAGCCGTGTCCCATCTGCCTTCGGAAACTGCAGCACGTCGTGGGCTTCAAACTCATCGAGCGCTACAGGGTGAGAGAAACAGACCCGGCAGCAAAGCCAAGGGGACAGAGCAGGGAGCGGAGCAGCTCATCCCAAACCACGGCATTACGCGTGCTGCAGCAGCGCATTAAACGCAGACACTCTCAGGGCAAGGTGCTAAGAACGAAAGCTTGCACCTAAGCAAGGGGGGGTGTTGTACACATGGCCTGGGGCTAACATAGCACTTTACACAAGCTCTGGGGCTTTTGGCTGTTCACAACAGGGGACAGTGCAACGGTCTGACCACGTTTGGCTACTTCCAAAAATGAGGTGGGGAGGGCAGGCAGATTTCAAGCCAAAGCAGCAGTGAGCGCAGCGATTCCCACATCTGTTCCCTTCCCTGTGTGCCACCATGGTTTTCTGCCTCTCTGGGGCTGCTAGTAACAGGGAGAAAATACGAAACGCATACATTGCTGCAGTTCCTCTGTTTAAAGATATGAGAAAGGATCCCAAATTGTTACCTAGTAACAAGTGGCAGGTCCCAGGCTCATCTTTTGTCTCTTCTCTCCCACCCATAAAACTGCTGACACCACATTTAGACAACAGCAGGAGTCGTGCTAAGATGCCCTTAGCTCTAGACAGGGTTTTCTACCTCTGCTGTCTGAAAAGCAGGATTCTGTAGCCAAGTGCGTGGTGGAATAGAAATAATGTCATAATTCTTAATCAGCACCCTATTTTCTCCCTGGTTATAATTCCTGTCTGACACACATCATGTTCAGAGACAGGATTTTCCACAGCTGCCTATTATAAAGTCTGTGCGTTATATTTGTAACAAGATACATGCGAGATAGTAGGATGCCTCTAGTTTCATTCAGCTTGGAATCGGAGGCACAGAAGCACAGCAAAGGATGGGGGAAAAACCACATTTGTGTGGTTTCGCTGTGTGTCTGCGGTGGTTTTAGACCCATCTCTGACTCCACGGCTGTTTGGTCCCTGCTTCTGTCCAACAGCTGCCTAAAGTGCCCAGACTACCAGAGGAATAAATTCTGGTTTATTTAAACACCCAACCTGTCAGCATCCAGCTACTGCTTTCTAGAAGAGAACTGCCATCTGCATTAAGCTTTTCTAGAAGCATTTTTGCCTTCACACCTGCAGTAAATACTGTAATTGGCTCAGCATCCCCTGGCACCAGTGAACACAAACCTAAGAGAGGATATCCTGCCAAATGTCACATCTGCTTCCTCAACAAGGAAAAGCTCAGCTAGACAGAGTACAAGCTGGTATAAGAGTTGTGATAATCTCTGTAAGAAGCTTTGCTATAACATTAGGAAGAAATATAAATGCCAGAGATGAATTAAATAGTTAAGGAAGCTGACAGAAGAGAGCACAAAGCATTTGGAGACAGTATCAGACAGCAGTTACTTGCTAAGCACGTTCTGAGAGGCTGTGGCTGGCCAAGCGCAAGTCTGCAGTCACGTTTCCCTTTGGAAAGCTAGCACGGATCCCCACGGCCACGCAGCAGCCCCAGACGCTTGCAGTGACCACAGGAAATGCCAGACCCAAAGCTGCTCCTGGCCAGGAGCAGGTAATGCTGCTGAAGTCGGCGACTGAGGCACGGCTACGGGCAGAAGAGCGTGCGGGACAGGAAACCAGTCCTTCTGCGGGAGGAAGAGCCCCTCAATTTATCCGAGCTGCACTCAGACACATACTCCATTTTTTCCCGATTCCAGCGTGAGTCATCTTGACAACTGAAAGCAAAATCAGTTCTCGAGGTGCTTCCCCGCCACAGCCAACCGCTCCACCTGCTGCTGCAGCATCCCAGGCTGTGCTGCACGCAGCGCCTGGGTCAGTCTGCAGCGGCCGCGGCTCAGGATGGCGAGGAATTCATCCTCACCGCAGTGTTAATCACAGTATCTGCTCTCGGGCAGAGGGGTTTGAAAAACTTCCCAGTGCCAAACCTGGAGCCCCTTGAGGTGGGAAACAGCTTTCATTCTTAGCGACTGACTTGGGGTGAGCAGCCACCCTGCAGATAAGCTAAAACTGTGAAGAGGTTACCCCTTTCTAGTTAGATAGGAGAACGTAAAAAGAGGCTGCAGCCCTGCAAACCCTTCCTAAATTTGAATCAATGAATTACCCAAAGGATGAGAGACAAGAAAGATGCTGGGGTTTTGGTAGCGATCTTCAGTCAATCATCCCTTCCTTTTGCCTCAAATAATCCAGATATACTGTTTGAACATCCTCATCTCCACAGCTTTTTCTCTTCTTGGGAATTGTGCGAAGTAGCAGCTGTGATTCCTTTCCAGATTCACTACTCCTGGGAATTTTAAAAGACATTATAAAACGCAGCTTTCAAATAGCTTTGCTGTCCCCTTCCTCAGTCTGGCTCCTCTTGCAGCTTCTGGTGCCTTCTTTGTTTTCTAAACCCAGAGGGAGCGAAGGGCTCTTGGAGGTGGGACGAGGCAGGAGAAAAGTTGTCCCTTTACATTTTTTCTTGCCCCAGAAGGAGGGGGCAGGGTGGATTAACTTTGCTGAAAGAGTCCATTTTATTCTTGTATGAAATTCTTCCCTGAGGCTTCATGCACAGACTGAAATGAGAAACAGGGCCTATGTCTCCCACCCACTCAATCTGAGCTCTTTATCCTTGCTGCCACTTGCCTGAAGAGCAAGCGATGGAGGAGGGAAGGGGGGAGGGAGCAGCCGGGGGTGGGGGGAGAAGGGAGCTGTGCACGGCTGGAACCCTCCTGCCCGCTTCCCAAACGCCACAGCTCACCCCGAGCCGAGCACACACGGACCCAGCGTCTCAGGTTCGTGCTCTGCCAGCCCTGTGTGTCCCAAAGCAGTTGCAGGGCTTTGCAAAGGTATCAGCTGGGAGCTGCAGAAAGTAAAGGTAAAGAAATAAGCCACAGGGTGTGAAAAAGCTGAAAAACACACAGAAGAAAAAAAACCCCAGCAAGGCAGACAAGGAGATCACCTTTTATCCAGCGATGACTGGAGTACTGTGGTTCGTTCCCCAAAGCATAAGGAATGAGCGTGCCAGAAGCAGCCTGTTATATGCCCCATTGTAGCATTTAATATTTAAAAAGGAAATTGTCTTAGACATTTTCCTTTCATTAATTCTTTCCCGGAGCCCAACCTCCCCCTTGTGCATTTCAGCTCGAGAGGGGAAGAGCTTTTCTTAGGAATAAAATGCACGCTACCACAGCAGTTAACAACACGATGAAACAAGATTCTCCACTGCTATCTCAGGAGCTTTTATAATAACACAGCCTCCTCTAGAGAGGAGCTTGGCTCTTGTGGAGATGACATCCACACAGCGAGGAGCAATTTTGTGCTGGTTTCTCCTACCATCTTCAGTAATAGGGCAGATACAGTCCACATCTGACCAGAGGCAGCTCTGCCACAGATGCTGACTCCAAGAAAACGGGACAAGAGAAAGCCCCTGCTTCGTAAGGTAACCATGAGTAGTGTCTGAACCCATCTTCTGGCAGAGGGGACCACAGCACCTGAAGCTGAGCCACCCAAGATGAGTAGGTTTACCTGACAAACACTAGGAAAGGCGTAACTGTTTTCTCTCATTCTCTGAACTGAAACCTTTTTTCCTCTCATCACAGAAGCTCTATGCTTGGACACAGACTGTACTGTCCACGTGGCCAAGGCAAGAGTCAGCAGACCTGTCCGCCTCAGAGGACATCCTTCCGTTCAGCTCCGACTCTGGGATGTGCTGCGAGAACGACTCAGAGGCTGTGACCTCCCTGTCCGAGCCGCTGGACGAGCACTCGTGTTCGCTGGCGGAGGCGCACAGCCAGCCCCAGCTCGCCGGGCCCACCAAGTCCACAGATACCATTAAAGATTACGAACTGTGGCTGGAGACGTGCATTGCTGCCCTAGAGAGGAACGTCTCTGAGGAGGAACTGGCGCAAGTCGACAAGGCCGTGGACGCCCTGGCGAAGTGGGAAATGTTCACAGGACAACTGCCTGCTATGAAGAAGGACCTACTCTTTGCTAGGGACAACACTGGGCTACGGAAAGTTCTCGGAGACAAATTTTCCTCCCTGAGGAGGAAACTGAGTTCCAGAAAACTGTCCAAAGGGGAATCGTCCCCTCATCATTGGCGGTGGGAGGAAAACTAGGCTGGGGCTGCCTTGGGTTGGGCCAGCTTTGCTCCCACGGCTTTGGTTACATTACTGCCCCGCTTCCGACCTTTCTCACCACAAGCTGTTGCTGTCGGAGACAAACAGCAACTCCCCCCAGGAATAAAAGTTGTTTCTTTTTCTGAGATTGCTAACATATTTTTGATGCGATCAGTTCTTCTCTAAGGGTTTTTCTCGTGCCGGTCTAAGTGACAGCACGGCTCCAAACCCCCATCAAGTCCTATGTAGGCACTTGTGTTTTTCTTGCCATATTTCATTTGGTCTGAAGTCAGCCAGGAAGAGCTCCATGCTAAACACTGACCACGTTCACACAGAAGCTTGGGCCATCTGAACAAACAGATGCAAGTTAAAGCAGGGCAGCTCTCCCGTACACAGACTGCTTAGCATTGCAGTCTGAAGCACAGGTGATCCTTCTCCCTCTTCTCTCCCCCCACACCAAATGTTCATCTCTGTTCTGGTTGCTGCCCCATCAGCTGGAGGCTGCGCTGAGCGCAGGAGCACAACGGAGGTTGATGGACTCACACTATGAGTAGGGGGGGGAAGATGGAGGAGGAACAGCACAGAGTCAGTACGGCAGAAAGATCCCTGGCAGCTCGTCTGCCATAAAGAACAGTGTTACTGTGACGACTGTCTCTTGGCGGACACTCGAGGGGATCTCCAGACCTGCTTCAGTTCAAGGAAAGCCAGGCTTGGAGCCGCGAGCTGTAACTGCCCACATCCTCCGTAGATTGGCACAGGAGAGAAAAACCTTGGAAAACACTCACATGTTCATTGATTATTAACTTAAAAGGGGGAACTACACATGCATTCCTCTCTTTCTGCCTTGAGAAGTTAACATTCTGTCCCTTTCCCTCTTCTCCACTCCATAAGCCACCCACCGAACAGGAACTGGTGCTGCGCTGGCAACAGCAGCTGCAGAGCCTGCCTTGCCGGTGCCGGGGCACGCCGTCCCTCTCCGGCTATTTATAGCCAAAGCTGAAGAGGATGATGGGTTTTCAAGCACGCTGGGGGAAGGCTGACCTCTCCATCCCCAGTTCACCCAGACCTCAGCACTGATACCGCTCTCTGCGGCTCACAGCTACGCGGCCGCGCTTCGGATTTCTCCCGTCTAAAAATATCAGCAGGTAGGACTGGGTCCAGTTCAGCTGGGAGGAGAGAGAGGATGTTTCCTTCCGAGGAGCCAATGGCTTTGGCTTTCCTGAGCCCTTGCCCTCTGCACTTTAAGGGCCCCACACCATGCCGTAACGCTCCAACGCATTTTTGGAGTGGAAAGGGAGAGAATCAGGGGAAGATATTTGAGAAAAGCTCGAGATTTACACGTGCAGGTGAGTAGAAAAGATGATCTCGTAACAAATTTAGCTGGATTCCGGAAACACAAGCAACTTCCCATCCGCATGATTCACGCAGGGAGAAAGAGGGAGTTCTGGCTTCGGGACCGATGACGGCAATTCCTGGAAATGTTTTTTCCAGGCTGCACGCCTGGACCCGGCGCAGGCGCGGGGCAGCGGAGCTGCTGCTGCCGCCCTCTCCTGGCAGCCTCAAAGGCGAGGGGGTTCTCATCCAAGACATTCTTCCCAGCAGCAGCAGCAATTTTCCGACCAAATCCTGCTTGAATTACAAATCCATGTACTGCCCCACACTTGCTCAGTTGTTGCCTTAACAGATTTACTATTTTAAGCAAGAGATTACTTGGTGTTCAGCCTTGTTTGCTCTTACTCGCTTCTGTACTGAATCACGAGGCTGAACTTTCGAAACTCTGCAGAAAGAGGCCATAAACCCAGGACGACAGAATTGCCTGAGGGAACGAGGCGGCTTCCTCTCATAACAACGTCCAAAAAAACTGAGAAAAGAGGTGGCACAAACTGAGCTGCTGGCAGAAGCCACAGCTGGGAAACTCCCTGCGTGCCACTTGGCTTTGGGACTCATGTTGTTGTGAAGGCAGGAATTTCTGCTGAAGAGTTGTTGCTTACCAGTAACAGGTAGTTTTGACACCGTCGCCGACAGGAGCACCACTTACCAGCTCAGCTCGTCCAGAAGTGCTCCAGGTGAGAAATAACTGAGCACAGCAACTCGGAGCTTCACCTACTCGCGTGGGCAGCTCAGCAGGGTCCACAAGCAGGGTGCAGCTCTGCAGTGAAAGGCAGAAAGCAGCTGAACGCCCTTTAAAGTCCTCAGGCAGCTGGAGAAGAGAAGGTCCATGCAATATTACACTGCAGGTTTTTGTTCAAGCAAAGACATTCCCGTGGAGGTGGCTACTCCACATCAGCAAAGGTTTCCAGCACAGCACAACATTTTCATCCCAGAGTCTGTAAGGAGTACTTTGCTTTTACACTACACAGCCTACACCAGTGTGAGTAAGGACTGGAGGCAACTTGGGTCACAGAGAAATAAAATGATTGGCCAAGGTTACACAGAAAACCAAGGTTATAACCAGGAGTAAAGCACAAAGGTGCAATTCCTACTCTTCTCTATCTGTATCAGAGTTGTAGAGGGGCAGAAAACAGCTGACAAAGTAAAACAAAAAGAAGGTAAGTCCCTGAATAAGATTTCCTGCATTTTAAGCAGCAAGTTTCCAGGAAGATACTTCCACTTGGAAGGGTGTGGGAACAGCAACCTAACCTGCAGCTAATAAGCTGCTGAGTAAGCTGTGGAACAGAAATACAGATGAGATACTTAGGAGTCATTTTAGAAGGTCAAGCTGTGGATCAACCATCAGCAAGAAGTAGCAGGGTACTCTATATATAAACACACCCCCAGAAGTTACTTGCAACTCAGCAGCCAAGATTGGAGTTGGTTACAAATGGTCCAGGAACAGTTTCACAGTGGGCAGGAGAACCTGGGTGTTCATTGTGCAGCACTTCAGCCGCAGCTTGGCGAGCCTTCTGCGGGAAGACAGGCAGCGAAAGGAGCTGGGCACCCAGATGGGGAAGGAGGCAAGTCCCCAAGGGCACCCAAACCAGCAGCCGGGCATGGAACTCCCTCGGGCACAGCTGCAGAGCTCTGGCTGGCAGCCTCCCCCCGCAGCCCCAGAGAACCTTCGTTTCTTGGGCTTGTGACCTGTGGGTGCCTTGCCTTGACAGGTAGCTGATCTAGAAATGAACTCTGCATGTGACCTGCCTTCAGGAGATCCCCCAGCAGAACCAGTAAACTCCTTCCTGAAGCTGCTGTTGTCTTTCACGTAACAATCCCTAAAAGGCAACGGTATAACACAGATCCACATTACACTCATCTGGCTCAGAAGTTCTCCCAAACCACACCATCCTTTGGCTACCCAGAGCATCCTTCACCCTCATAAAGTAACTCACTCAAGCATACTCGTTTTGAAGCAACTTCTGAAGTCTATAATAGTGAACAGCGCAGAAAACAGTCTTTTAATAGCTTTACGAGCTCATAAAGACAAATATCTTTTTCCCAAGAATAAACAGGCAGAACATTCCACTCCTACTCTTAAAACAAGAAGTTGCTGTAATTGAAGGGGGTGGGGGTACAACACAACTGTCCAGGGAAAATAAAACCAACAACAACAAAAAACCCCCAGACTCTTTGCTAGTTAGGGGTCAAATTGCCTACAACAGCTTGCAAAGGTGGGGGAGGAGAAATCAGCGTCTTCCACAGCCATTTCATTAGCAGTATCCAGCAATTCCTGATTCAGCAGTGGATGTGACCACCTTCCTCCCCTAAAAATGGTACTTTTAACTGCAGTCTGTTTCTGCTGTGCAGAATTGAGGCTCTAAAGGAAAGCTAGATTTTGTAAAAATCCATGAACACCCTTCCCAATAACTCTTCCTCCCTTAGCACCATGCAGCTTCCCAAGATGCCAGTCACTCTTGCCAGAGCGGCAAGATATTCAGTAATTTTTGTTAGTAACTGAATAAACATCTTCCCAGGTCTGTACAGGATAACGAGATACCAGACTGGAGCTAGAAACCACAAGGCTTTAATTTCTCTCCTCAAAGAGCTGTAACCAATACTTAAATATTACTATAACCACCCCAAACCTTACACCTTGTACATGCCAGCAATAGCCCTGCCTACTTTGCATTTTAGAGAAGCCTCTCCCTGGGGAAATAGCTGTGTTTTACCTTTTGTCTTCGGAGCGTTGGATTGCTGAAATTGCAGAAGAGATACTCTAGTAACAGGTAGCCATGCTGGTCCGAGGCAGAGAGTTCCAAGTCAATACACAGAGGTTCGGCTCTCCCTGGGGCACCAGCGTTCACTGGCACTGAACAGACAAACCTGCATGCAGGATCGACTGCTTCAGCTTCTGTTCTTACGGGGCAACGTCTGTGCAGCTGAATGATGAAAGGGACATCATCGCTGTATGACGTGAGATAGTTTGAGATGCAGAAATATTGGCAAGCATGAAAAAATGGCGTCACTACGATACCCTGATTAAAGCCTCCCAACCGTGTGTTCCAGATAAAAACTTAAATCCCACTGAAATGGGTGCACCTACTCACAGCTGCTGACTAGGGCAGGACTGAGCTCGCGTGGGCACTCCAGTGACAACACATTTCTTATTTTGATGAAAGCTTTGGAGATTCAGCAATTTGGACTTCAGAGAAACTCTATCAACACAAATCAACCAAACCCCAACCAGCTTTAGAGCAGGCAAAGCAACAACTTAAAACAACCCCCTTCCCTGTCTGATGGTCAAGTGTCTCAACAGCCTGGCACGGCCCCCGTTACAACGCCAGTTATTCCAGCAGATATTGCCAGAAAGAGCTCTTTCCTTCTTCAGGGAGAAACCTGATAAACTTTTTCTATATACTATCTTGTAGGGCTGTAATTCACACCAATACTGTAGTCCAGAGAAGGGCTAATTTGCTTCCACAGAGCTGACCAAAGGGAACCCTTGGAGCTGCTGCTGTTGCTGAGAGCTTGTCAGATTAGAAAAGTACACGATCACACCTGGAAACCTCCTTAGTGCATATTGAATTTGCAATTCATCTGCCCTTGTTTTCGGAGATGCTGAACAC